TCAGCCTCATTTTAGGATCCTTGTTAAACTCTATGTGCACATTTATGGAAACCTAAGATTTATTTGCTCACATTAGACACCAAAATAAGTTTTCACACCCAATGAATGTCTGAATTTTCAAATATAAGCTCCTGAATCAGTCACTCTAAATGCAGATTCCAATACCATTCTAGTGTAGTAATTGGTAGATGTCTTTAAGGTAAAAACTGCTTCTAGACTCCTGGGCCCTGCCTCTGCTGTGATCGGCCCTGTGTGCACTCAGTCTCTCTCTGTCTTCTTCTTCTTTTCTCTCCTGCCTCTAAGTGAAGGGCTGCTCCACCTTCTGGAGCTCAATGTTGGGCCGGGGTTTACAGCACTGAAAATGTACTAATTGATCTTCTTACCTTTAAAATGTTCATTTCAAGACATCGTAAATTGTAAATATATCAACCTCTTATATTTTAAGCTTTCCTTTCCAAGGTTCACCTCCAAAAATCACAGAAACATCGACAACATTTTCATAACAATAGGAACGAAAGACAACCAAACCCAAACACTTTCTGATAGAAATGATCTAGACCAGATCATATTTCTTGATAATCTGTTTATACTGACACATAATATGACAACTATTTTACACCCAAGACAGACATTGAATAAACAGCATACAACAGACAGACAGACACAGAATATAAATCACAGCTTTTGCTCACACTGTGTATATAATTTGACCTCGACGTTGTTAAAGAAAAATGATTATTTTTTAGACTTTATTACAGTTAATCTTATGGCATGTGTAAACACTCTCACTTGAACATATTTCTTAATTTTGAACAAGGCTGTGTTAATGATTTAAAACTACTAATGGGTAAGTATTCAAAGCACAGGAGGCCTTAAAATGAGTATCTCCTGGGGGGTGAATAACAGTTAAGCCTGCAGGAGAGATTTCTGCTTGGTTTACAGAAGGTCAAAAGTCTTTCAGAATAAACAACCAGGGATGGTGAGGCCCCCCGCATTCCACAAGCTGTCTGTGAGAGCTTATCTTGTGTTTTATGACTTTAGGAATTCTAGATGCCAGGACAAGCTTTCCGCCTTTTCTTGTTAAAACAAAGAAGCAAATGACCCCAGATGTTTGCAGTAAATAAGGGGAAGCCCTAGCAGTGTCAGAGATGGCGTTTGGTTGGAGGACCGAGGGCCAGCCCCTTTTTGAATGGATTAGATACAAGAGGATAAAGCTTTCTAAATAGAAGAAAAAGATCAGATTTGCCCTTGCAACTCTCCAAAGATGTCTCTGTACTCTTTGCTTTCTTTCCTCCTATGTCAGGTAATGGAATGTATGTCAGCCTTTCTGCATGCAGAAACCGTTGGGCTCTCCAACCAACTTATCCTAGTGAGCAGTATAATTCTTGAAGGTGTTTGCGCAGTCGCCTTCAGTCGGACTTTCAACCGCTACCCACAGCAGAACGCACGACTTTCTCTCTCTCTCTTTTTTTTTTTTTTTTTTTTTTTTTTTTTTTTTTTTTTTTTTTTTTTTTTTTTTTTTTTTTTTTTTTTTTTATGTGTACACGTTCGCAATGTAAAAAAACAACAAAACAAAAACCGCAAAAACTAAAATCACTCTGAGCAATTTCTCTGTCCTCTTTTGCATAAAAAGCTTCAGCTCACTTCAGAAAATCACAACACAGCCAAAGTGTTTTAACAGTAAAAACACTGGAGATATTTTGTAATAAGGAATCTCCTCACCTTATCAGTTGTTTCGGCCGCAGGCTGTGGAGCTTTTTCCATCGGTGGCTCTGTTGTTTTGCTTCCAGGTCACGGGCGGAAACACCATTTTGTTAAAGTGAGGAGGATTTGTCCCCTTGGAAGGAAGGCTGTAGCGCCCCGGGGGCCTCCTCACCGGTTCTTTTCCTAGGAGCAAGTTATTTACTACTCTTAACTCAAACTGGGTAAAACCATATAAAAAAGGACTATAAAAACAGGAGTAAAAAAGTAACAGAGTTTATTCCAGATCAGGTCGTTACAGGACAGAGAAAAATGCTTAGAGCTATGCACAGCTGTGGTCTCAAAAATCAAGTCCGCAAGCGTCCAGCAAAGTTTGAGCCCCGAACAACGTCATCTCCTGCTTCTTATACCTTCTGAGTCTGTGTCGCATCATGTGGATGCTTAGCTGTCCGTATCAGAAACTGACACGCCATCCATGTGTTGAACTCCATGCAGGTTGCCTCTCTGTCTCAGGGTTACAGATACAGCAGCTCTCCTATCAGACCGGCTCCAAGATGTGCCCATATCCTGTGTACTCTTAGAGACACGAAGGCTGTCCTGATTAGATGACCTCCGTACACACCGTGACATCCACAATGTGAAGGAAGGCCTTCTGCTCTGTCTAATCTGACTAACAAAATAACAGTGCACATGTATAAATGATAAAACCTAACAATATATTTATGTTTATTTTTAGTGTGGAAAGTTTTATTGTATTTCTTTATGTTGTATTTTATTCCTTAGATAATGAATGTGTGCAATATGTTGTTTGTAAACTTGAAGCTAAGATTATTTCCCCCCTTGGATCATTAAAGTATTTCTGATTCAAACAGACTTTATCTTGTTGGTTTCCTGCATAAATCCTTAGTCTGAAATAAGAAAAGATTATGAATATAAATAGGAACTGGATCTAATATAGTATCATTCATGTATCCCAGTCAGTGACGTGCGGTCAGGGGAGGCAGGTGAGGCAGTGCCTCACCAGCCATCATGGAAAGAAAGAAAATATATAATCATAAAGTAATTTAAATTGTTATATTCATCCGGTGGTTTGTACTAAAAAATATTCATTTTTCATGTAGCTTCACCAATTTCGATTTTTATTTGTTCAAAATCGCTGAATTTTCTTATTTTCCCATTCAAATGCTTGGAAGCGATGCCGGTGAGGCAGCAGCGAGCTCTGCCTCACCTTGGATTGCGCAACCCCTGGCTCTGCGCTGGCTGCAAAGCGGAGAGAGCATGTTGCTGTACGGCGTCAATAAAATGGTTTAAACAAATGTAATATGTGAACTTATTTCTAATAATTTGGCTTATGTATATAATGTACAGAGCTTTTTGTCACCAACTGTGTTTGTGTAACGTGTTTCGTGTAATGAGCGATTATAAACGGCAGAGAACAAGTTCGAGGTGAGGCAGGCAGTTCTCTTGCCTCATGGCAGGGGGTGCTCAAGAGACTGAAAACATAAGGCAGGAACAGGACGGATCAAGGAAGGCTTTCTTCCCTGGCAGTGATCTCCATTGAGACAGAGAGACTTTTAAAACTGAAGGAAGATAAGGAGGACTTCTATTCATTTATAAGTAAAGGTAAGACAGTAATAACATTTATTTTGTTTTGTTTTTTAAGGAAATGTGTGTTTTGTGAGCTACAGTTTGTATGTGTAAGGATGCAGAAGTGAAACATAACCTGTAAACTGCTGTCAATCTATGCATCTATTTGCAAATCTGATTCTGATGACGTCAGTGCCTCACCAGCTATGAACCTCACCGCACGTCACTGATCCCAGTTAATGAATGGAGAAGCTCTGCTTCCAAACGCAGAGCTGTGGAGGATTTCCAGTGTCTGAGAGAGAATATAGCAAAGTTCTGACAGGTGTGGTTAGACTCTTGTAAAATGTTAAACAAACAACAAAAACAAACTGCTGTAAATTATATCTTCAGATATATTATATTGATCTTCAGCCGTTTGTTTTTCTGGAACAGAAAGTTTCTGAAAAAATATTCGGTCTCCAGGATTTATATATATATATATTCTTATTGTTATACACAGAACAAAGCACATATTGACAAACATTTATCACAGTGTGACATACAGAGCATGTGAGGCATTCAGGTTGAATGCTTGGATTGTATCAGGTTCTGTCTAACACTAACTGAACAATCATTTACATTTTCTAAGCATTGTCTCCTATCTCTGCATTTAACTCAATAGCACATGCTAAATGTTTATCATGTTTAGAGTTTCATGGCAGGGTTTGATGTGGAAACTAGGAATGTGTTTCTTTGTGAATTCACGGATTTAAAAATATCTAAAGAGATTAGATGCTGGAGTGTTATAAAAGCTTTGAAGCTGAGCAAAAGAGGCAAAAGTTTCATTTATAAACAATAAGAATGGATGGATGATGGATGGATGGATGGATGGATGGATGGATGGATGGATGGATGGATGATGGACTGTGTGTTGAATTCATGTTAATGTGGATTTAAAGACATTTCAATTAGTGAAAAAAAAAAACTTCCACGACCTCCATGCAGTACCGGTGTTGACCCCTAGGGGTCACGCTCCCCCTGTTGGTTGAACAGGCTGCATCATTACCACACTGAGATCTGTTTAGTTAAACTATTAGAGTCATGAAATATTTCTGCTTCTACTGTGTGAAAAGTTCACATCATTTTATTTAATTATAGCTTATGAGCTAAAAATAATATAAAAGTGTTAATTCATTAGTAACTAAAAACAAAGAAGAATTCCATAACTGATAACATATTAGAGATTAAAAATTGTATGTACATCAAATTCCTTATTAATTTTTAACCTTTGGACAAAGAAGAATTAATCAAAATGTTTCTTTATTTTTTTATACACTAAAATTTCTCATTTTAGGATTTTTTTAAAACACCTTTATATTTAGTTTTCAACTCTGAAGAATAATACAGCGTATAATTATTTTAGCAGATATTTCAAATTATTTAAACATTTCAATATTTAAAAGAAGGATTTTAAATAAATTAATTTCAGACCAAAATAATCTCCTCTGTAGAAAGTTTGATGGTTTCTTACTGCACAGATTTAAAACATAAATCAGGAAATTATTCTGTAGTTTAGAGAGGAGGAGATGTTAGATTGAGTGACACCGATTCATTACATGATTATTGTAATTAATAAAGTCAAATAACGTCAAAATAGATTAACATTTTTATATAATTTGTTTATTTTGAAATTCAGACGACTGAAAATATGCTTTTATTCTGAAAATGATCAGACAGGAAGTGTTCGCCCGGTGGGATCAAAGTACCACACAGCCCAGCTTCCGGTTAACTTCAGCCAAGTGGAGGAAAGAAATTACTGAACAAAGGTCAAAGGTAAAGAAAACTGAATTATTAAGGTTTTTAATTTGTTATTAAAACCATAGAAGAAGACGTGAAACGAAGGGGCCTCGAATCAGCTCCTCTGAACTAAAAGCTTTATTTACCTAAACCTCCCAGAAACGCAGCAGGTTGGTTCACCTGGAAACAAAATGCGTTGATTATAAACTGATGTTCTGATGATGTCTGTTAGCAGTTAGACATAAACTATAAATCAGCCTGTAAATCAGCCTGTAGATCAGCCTGTTTATCAGTCTGTCAATCTGTAAATCAGGCTGCTAATCAGTCTGTTAATCAGGCTGTTGACCAGCCTGTTAATCACCATGTTAGCCTATAAACCAGCCTGTAAATCAGCCTGTTAATCAGTCTGTTAATTAGCCTGTTAATCAGCCTGTAGATCAGTCTGTAAATAAGCCTTTAAACCAGCTTGTAGATCAGCCTGTTAATCAGTCTGTAGATCAGTCTGTAAATCAGCCTGTAGATCAGCCTATAGATCAGCCTGCAAATCAGCCTGTAGATCAGCCTGTATATCAGCCTGTAGATCAGCCTATAGATCAGCCTGTATATCTGCCTGTTAATCAGCCTGTAAATAAGCCTTTAAATCAGCCTGTTAATCAGCTTGTAAATCAGCCTGTTAATTAGCCTATAGATCAGCCTGTTAATCAGCCTGTATATCAGCCTGTTAATCAGCCTGTAAATAAGCCTTTAAATCAGCTTGTAGATCAGCCTGTTAATCAGTCTGTAAATCAGCCTGTAGATCAGCCTATAGATCAGCCTGTAAATCAGCCTGTAGATCAGCCTGTAAATCAGCCTGTAGATCAGCCTATAGATCAGCCTGTTAATCAGCCTGTATATCTGCCTGTTAATCAGCCTGTAAATAAGCCTTTAAATCAGCCTGTTAATCAGTCTGTAGATCAGTCTGTAGATCAGCTTGTAAATCAGCCTCTAAATCAGCCTGTTAATCAGTTTGTAGATCAGCCTGTAAATCAGCCTGTAAATCAGCCTGTATATCTGCCTGTTAATCAGCCTGTAAACAAGCCTTTAAATCAGCCTGTTAATCAGTCTGTAGATCAGTCTGTAGATCAGCTTGTAAATCAGCCTGTTAATCAGCCTATAGATCAGCCTGTTAATCAGCCTGTATATCTGCCTGTTAATCAGCCTGTAAATAAGCCTTTAAATCAGCCTGTTAATCAGTCTGTAGATCAGTCTGTAGATCAGCTTGTAAATCAGCCTCTAAATCAGCCTGTTAATCAGTTTGTAGATCAGCCTGTAAATCAGCCTCTAAATCAGCCTGTAAATCAGCCTGTATATCTGCCTGTTAATCAGCCTGTAAATAAGCCTTTAAATCAGCCTGTTAATCAGTTTGTAGATCAGCCTGTAAATCAGCCTCTAAATCAGCCTGTAAATCAGCAGGTTAATCAGTCTATAGATCAGCCTGTAGATCAGCCTGTTAATCAGCCTGTAAATCAGCCTGTTAACCAGTCTGTAGATCAGCCTGTAAATCAGGCTGTTTATCAGTCTGTAGATCAGCCTGTAGATCAGCCTGTAGATCAGCCTGTAAATCAGCCTGTTAATCAGTCTGTAGATCAGTCTGTAGATCAGCCTGTAGACCAGCCTGTAAATCAGCCTGTTCATCAGTCTGTAGATCAGTCTGTAGATCAGCCTGTAAATCAGTCTGTAGATCAGTCTGTAAATCAGCCTGTTCATCAGTCTGTAGATCAGTCTGTAGATCAGCCTGTTAATCAGTCTGTAGATCAGCCTGTTAATCAGTCTTTAGATCAGTCTGTAGATCAGCCTGTAGACCAGCCTGTAAATCAGCCTGTTCATCAGTCTGTAGATCAGTCTGTAGATCAGCCTGTAAATCAGTCTGTAGATCAGTCTGTAAATCAGCCTGTTAATCAGTCTGTAGATCAGTCTGTAGATCAGCCTGTAGACCAGCCTGTAAATCAGCCTGTAGATCAGCCTGTTAATCAGCCTGTAAATCAGCCTGTTAATCAGTCTGTAGATCAGTCTGTAGATCAGTCTGTAGATCAGCCTGTAGATCAGCCTCTAAATCAGCCTATAAATCAGCATGTTAATCAGCCTGTAGATCAGCCTGTAAATCAGCCTCTAAATCAGCCTGTAAATCAGCATGTTAATCAGCCTGTAGATCAGCCTGTAAATCAGCCTCTAAATCAGCCTGTAAATCAGCCTGTTAATCAGTCTGTAGATCAGCCTGTAGATCAGCCTGTTAATCAGCCTGTAAATCAGCCTGTTAATCAGTCTGTAGATCAGCCTGTAGATCAGCCTGTAAATCAGTCTGTAGATCAGCCTGTAAATCAGCCTGTTCATCAGTCTGTAGATCAGCCTGTAGATCAGCCTGTAAATCGGTCTGTAGATCAGCCTGTAAATCAGCCTGTTCATCAGTCTGTAGATCAGCCTGTAGATCAGTCTGTAGATCAGCCTGTAAATCAGCCTGTTTATCAGTCTGTAGATCAGCCTGTAGATCAGCCTGTAAATCAGTCTGTAGATCAGCCTGTAAATCAGCCTGTTCATCAGTCTGTAGATCAGCCTGTAGATCAGCCTGTAAATCAGTCTGTAGATCAGCCTGTAAATCAGCCTGTTCATCAGTCTGTAGATCAGCCTGTAGATCAGCCTGTAAATCAGTCTGTAGATCAGCCTGTAAATCAGCCTGTTTATCAGTCTGTAGATCAGCCTGTAGATCAGCCTGTAAATCAGTCTGTAGATCAGCCTCTAAATCAGCCTGTTCATCAGTCTGTAGATCAGTCTGTAGATCAGTCTGTAGATCAGCCTGTAAATCAGCCTCTAAATCAGCCTGTAAATCAGCATGTTAATCAGCCTGTAGATCAGCCTGTAAATCAGCCTCTAAATCAGCCTGTAAATCAGCATGTTAATCAGCCTGTAGATCAGCCTGTAGATCAGCCTGTTAATCAGCCTGTAAATCAGCCTGTTAATCAGTCTGTAGATCAGCCTGTAAATCAGGCTGTTTATCAGTCTGTAGATCAGCCTGTAGATCAGCCTGTTAATCAGCCTGTAAATCAGTCTGTAGATCAGTCTGTAGATCAGCCTGTTAATCAGTCTGTAGATCAGTCTGTAGATCAGCCTGTAAATCAGCCTCTAAATCAGCCTGTAAATCAGCATGTTAATCAGCCTGTAGATCAGCCTGTAGATCAGCCTGTTAATCAGCCTGTAAATCAGCCTGTTAATCAGTCTGTAGATCAGCCTGTAAATCAGGCTGTTTATCAGTCTGTAGATCAGCCTGTAGATCAGCCTGTTAATCAGCCTGTAAATCAGTCTGTAGATCAGTCTGTAGATCAGCCTGTTAATCAGTCTGTAGATCAGTCTGTAGATCAGCCTGTAGATCAGCCTGTAAATCAGCCTCTAAATCAGCCTATAAATCAGCATGTTAATCAGCCTGTAGATCAGCCTGTAAATCAGCCTCTAAATCAGCCTATAAATCAGCATGTTAATCAGCCTGTAGATCAGCCTGTAAATCAGCCTCTAAATCAGCCTATAAATCAGCATGTTAATCAGCCTGTAGATCAGCCTGTAAATCAGCCTCTAAATCAGCCTGTAAATCAGCATGTTAATCAGCCTGTAGATCAGCCTGTAAATCAGCCTCTAAAGCAGCCTGTAAATCAGCATGTTAATCAGTCTGTAGACCAGCCTGTAGATCAGCCTGTAAATCAGCCTCTAAATCAGCCTATAAATCAGCCTGTTAATCAGCCTGTAGATCAGCCTGTAGATCAGCCTGTAAATCAGCCTCTAAATCAGCCTGTAAATCAGCATGTTAATCAGCCTGTAGATCAGCCTGTAAATCAGCCTCTAAATCAGCCTGTAGATCAGCCTGTAAATCAGCCTGTAAATCAGTCTGTAGATCAGCCTGTAAATCAGCCTCTAAATCAGCCTATAAATCAGCCTGTAAATCAGCATGTTAATCAGCCTGTAGATCAGCCTCTAAATCAGCCTGTAAATCAGCATGTTAATCAGTCTGTAGATCAGCCTCTAAATCAGCCTATAAATCAGCCTGTTAATCAGCCTGTAGATCAGCCTGTAAATCAGCCTCTAAATCAGCCTGTAAATCAGTCTGTAGATCAGCCTGTAAATCAGCCTCTAAATCAGCCTATAAATCAGCCTGTTAATCAGTCTGTAGATCAGCCTGTAAATCAGTCTGTAGATCAGCCTGTAAATCAGCCTCTAAATCAGCCTATAAATCAGCCTGTAAATCAGCATGTTAATCAGCCTGTAGATCAGCCTCTAAATCAGCCTGTAAATCAGCATGTTAATCAGTCTGTAGATCAGCCTCTAAATCAGCCTGTAAATCAGCATGTTAATCAGTCTGTAGATCAGCCTGTAAATCAGGCTGTTTATCAGTCTGTAGATCAGCCTGTAAATCAGCCTGTAAATCAGCCTGTAAATTTTAGGGATTCATGAAACGTTTTATGGGATCAAAACAAAATAAATCAGAGATGAAATTAAACATGGAGAGCGGATCTGATCTATAACCGTAGCTCTACAGCGGATCAGTTTGGACTTTGGTTCTGTTTGAGTTCTTGTTGTGGAAACCTGATTTTATCCACCCGTCTCCTTCAGTCTGACTCCATCTGTAGCTCTATGATCACCTCATGGCATTTATAGATATATTTATTTAGATTTACATCAACTTCCAGGAAAATATTCTCCCACTCATGTTTTTTATTCCATGGAATAAAAAAGGACAAACAATTAAAGTCATAAAAATGTTTTTATTAAAGGCGATAGAGAAATTTAACTCCTCCTGCACAGCAGGGGGCTCCACAGCTCATTTCTTCTGTTGAAGGTTGAACATTAAAACATGGCGTGTAAATAAGAGAAAACCAAAGACATGCTGGTGAAAGCTGGACCACTATTAATAGAAGTCTGATCTAGAAACAGTAAATCTACTTCCTCCAGAATAATGTTTCTGTTGTTTTATCCTAAAGGAGACGATGGGCCTGGAAGTGGTTGACCTCCCTAAAGGTCCTCTAGATGCCTACAGGAGAAAAGCCTCCTTCGACTGGAAGGAGATGCTCCGCTTCATCGAGGGAGAGGAAATCATCCAGTTCAAAGTACGGTGTACGGAGAGACATTTGTGTTTAAAGTACGTGTATGGAGAGACATTTGTGTTTAAAGTATGGTGTATGGAGAGACATTTGTGTTTAAAGTACGGGGTACGGAGAGACATTTGTGTTCAAAGTACGGTGTACGGAGAGACATTTGTGTTTAAAGTACGGGGTACGGAGAGACATTTGTGTTCAAAGTACCGTGTATGGAGAGACATTTGTGTTCAAAGTACGGTGTACGGAGAGACATTTGTGTTCAAAGTACGGTGTACGGAGAGACATTTGTGTTCAAAGTACGGTGTACGGAGAGACATTTGTGTTCAAAGCACGGTGTACGGAGAGACATTTGTGTTTAAAGTACGGTGTATGGAGAGACATTTGTGTTTAAAGTACGGTGTACGGAGAGACATTTGTGTTCAAAGTACGGTGTACGGAGAGACATTTGTGTTCAAAGTACGGGGTACGGAGAGACATTTGTGTTCAAAGTACGGTGTACGGAGAGACATTTGTGTTCAAAGCACGGTGTACGGAGAGACATTTGTGTTTAAAGTACGGGGTATGGAGAGACATTTGTGTTCAAAGTACGGTGTATGGAGAGACATTTGTGTTTAAAGTACGGTGTATGGAGAGACATTTGTGTTTAAAGTATGGTGTATGGAGAGACATTTGTGTTTAAAGTACGGTGTATGGAGAGACATTTGTGTTTAAAGTACGGTGTACGGAGAGACATTTGTGTTTAAAGTACGGTGTATGGAGAGACATTTGTGTTTAAAGTACGGTGTACGGAGAGACATTTGTGTTCAAAGTACGGTGTACGGAGAGACATTTGTGTTCAAAGTACGGGGTACGGAGAGACATTTGTGTTCAAAGTACGGTGTACGGAGAGACATTTGTGTTCAAAGCACGGTGTACGGAGAGACATTTGTGTTTAAAGTACGGTGTATGGAGAGACATTTGTGTTTAAAGTACGGTGTATGGAGAGACATTTGTGTTTAAAGTACGTGTATGGAGAGACATTTGTGTTTAAAGTACGTGTATGGAGAGACATTTGTGTTTAAAGTACGTGTATGGAGAGACATTTGTGTTTAAAGTATGGTGTATGGAGAGACATTTGTGTTTAAAGTACGGGGTACGGAGAGACATTTGTGTTCAAAGTACGGTGTATGGAGAGACATTTGTGTTCAAAGTACGGTGTACGGAGAGACATTTGTGTTCAAAGTATGGTGTACGGAGAGACATTTGTGTTCAAAGCACGGTGTATGGAGAGACATTTGTGTTTAAAGTACGTGTATGGAGAGACATTTGTGTTTAAAGTATGGTGTATGGAGAGACATTTGTGTTTAAAGTACGGGGTACGGAGAGACATTTGTGTTCAAAGTACGGTGTATGGAGAGACATTTGTGTTCAAAGTACGGTGTACGGAGAGACATTTGTGTTCAAAGTACGGTGTACGGAGAGACATTTGTGTTCAAAGCACGGTGTACGGAGAGACATTTGTGTTTAAAGTACGGTGTATGGAGAGACATTTGTGTTTAAAGTATGGTGTATGGAGAGACATTTGTGTTTAAAGTACGGTGTATGGAGAGACATTTGTGTTTAAAGTACGGTGTACGGAGAGACATTTGTGTTCAAAGTACGGTGTACGGAGAGACATTTGTGTTCAAAGTACGGGGTACGGAGAGACATTTGTGTTCAAAGTACGGTGTATGGAGAGACATTTGTGTTCAAAGTACGGTGTACGGAGAGACATTTGTGTTCAAAGTACGGTGTACGGAGAGACATTTGTGTTCAAAGTACGGTGTACGGAGAGACATTTGTGTTCAAAGCACGGTGTACGGAGAGACATTTGTGTTTAAAGTACGGTGTACGGAGAGACATTTGTGTTCAAAGTACGGTGTATGGAGAGACATTTGTGTTTAAAGTACGTGTATGGAGAGACATTTGTGTTTAAAGTACGTGTATGGAGAGACATTTGTGTTTAAAGTATGGTGTATGGAGAGACATTTGTGTTCAAAGTACGGTGTACGGAGAGACATTTGTGTTCAAAGTACGGTGTACGGAGAGACATTTGTGTTCAAAGTACGGGGTATGGAGAGACATTTGTGTTCAAAGTACGGTGTACGGAGAGACATTTGTGTTCAAAGTACGGGGTACGGAGAGACATTTGTGTTCAAAGTACGGTGTACGGAGAGACATTTGTGTTCAAAGTACGGTGTACGGAGAGACATTTGTGTTCAAAGCACGGTGTACGGAGAGACATTTGTGTTCAAAGTACGGTGTATGGAGAGATATTTGTGTTTAAAGTACATGTATGGAGAGACATTTGTGTTCAAAGTACGGTGTACGGAGAGACATTTGTGTTCAAAGCACGGTGTACGGAGAGACATTTGTGTTTAAAGCACGGTGTACGGAGAGACATTTGTGTTCAAAGCACGGTGTACGGAGAGACATTTGTGTTTAAAGTACGGTGTACGGAGAGACATTTGTGTTCAAAGCACGGTGTACGGAGAGACATTTGTGTTTAAAGTACGGTGTACGGAGAGACATTTGTGTTCAAAGTATGGTGTACGGAGAGACATTTGTGTTCAAAGTACGGTGTACGGAGAGACATTTGTGTTTAAAGTACGGTGTACGGAGAGACATTTGTGTTCAAAGTACGGTGTACGGAGAGACATTTGTGTTCATAGTACGGTGTACGGAGAGACATTTGTGTTCAAAGTACGGTGTACGGAGAGACATTTGTGTTCAAAGTACGGGGTACGGAGAGACATTTGTGTTCAAAGTACGGTGTATGGAGAGACATTTGTGTTCAAAGTACGGTGTACGGAGAGACATTTGTGTTCAAAGTACGGTGTACGGAGAGACATTTGTGTTCAAAGTACGGTGTACGGAGAGACATTTGTGTTCAAAGTACGGGGTACGGAGAGACATTTGTGTTCAAAGTACGGTGTACGGAGAGACATTTGTGTTCAAAGTACGGTGTACGGAGAGACATTTGTGTTCAAAGCACGGTGTACGGAGAGACATTTGTGTTCAAAGCACGGTGTACGGAGAGACATTTGTGTTCAAAGCACGGTGTACGGAGAGACATTTGTGTTCAAAGTACGGGGTATGGAGAGACATTTGTGTTTAAAGTACGTGTATGGAGAGACATTTGTGTTTAAAGTATGGTGTATGGAGAGACATTTGTGTTCAAAGTACGGTGTATGGAGAGACATTTGTGTTCAAAGTACGGTGTATGGAGAGACATTTGTGTTCAAAGTATGGTGTATGGAGAGACATTTGTGTTCAAAGTACGGTGTACGGAGAGACATTTGTGTTTAAAGTACGGTGTACGGAGAGACATTTGTGTTCAAAGTACGGTGTACGGAGAGACATTTGTGTTCAAAGTACGGTGTACGGAGAGACATTTGTGTTCAAAGTACGGTGTACGGAGAGACATTTGTGTTTAAAGTACGGTGTACGGAGAGACATTTGTGTTCAAAGTACGGCGTACGGAGAGACATTTGTGTTCAAAGTACGGCGTACGGAGAGACATTTGTGTTCAAAGTACGGTGTACGGAGAGACATTTGTGTTCAAAGTACGGTGTACGGAGAGACATTTGTGTTTAAAGTACGGTGTATGGAGAGACATTTGTGTTCAAAGTATGGTGTACGGAGAGACATTTGTGTTCAAAGTATGGTGTACGGAGAGACATTTGTGTTTAAAGTATGGTGTACGGAGAGACATTTGTGTTTAAAGTATGGTGTATGGAGAGACATTTGTGTTTAAAGTACGGTGTATGGAGAGACATTTGTGTTCAAAGTACGGTGTACGGAGAGACATTTGTGTTCAAAGTACGGTGTACGGAGAGACATTTGTGTTCAAAGTACGGTGTACGGAGAGACATTTGTGTTTAAAGTACGGTGTACGGAGAGACATTTGTGTTTAAAGTACGGTGTACGGAGAGACATTTGTGTTCAAAGTACGGGGTACGGAGAGACATTTGTGTTCAAAGTACGGGGTACGGAGAGACATTTGTGTTCAAAGCACGGTGTACGGAGAGACATTTGTGTTTAAAGCACGGTGTACGGAGAGACATTTGTGTTTAAAGCACGGTGTACGGAGAGACATTTGTGTTCAAAGCACGGTGTACGGAGAGACATTTGTGTTTAAAGTACGGTGTACGGAGAGACATTTGTGTTCAAAGCACGGTGTACGGAGAGACATTTGTGTTTAAAGTACGGTGTACGGAGAGACATTTGTGTTCAAAGTATGGTGTACGGAGAGACATTTGTGTTCAAAGTACGGTGTACGGAGAGACATTTGTGTTTAAAGTACGGTGTACGGAGAGACATTTGTGTTCAAAGTACGGTGTACGGAGAGACATTTGTGTTCATAGTACGGTGTACGGAGAGACATTTGTGTTCAAAGTACGGTGTACGGAGAGACATTTGTGTTCAAAGTACGGGGTACGGAGAGACATTTGAGTTCAAAGTACGGTGTATGGAGAGACATTTGTGTTCAAAGTACGGTGTACGGAGAGACATTTGTGTTCAAAGTACGGTGTACGGAGAGACATTTGTGTTCAAAGTACGGTGTACGGAGAGACATTTGTGTTCAAAGTACGGGGTACGGAGAGACATTTGTGTTCAAAGTACGGTGTACGGAGAGACATTTGTGTTCAAAGTACGGTGTACGGAGAGACATTTGTGTTCAAAGCACGGTGTACGGAGAGACATTTGTGTTCAAAGCACGGTGTACGGAGAGACATTTGTGTTCAAAGCACGGTGTACGGAGAGACATTTGTGTTCAAAGCACGGGGTATGGAGAGACATTTGTGTTTAAAGTACGTGTATGGAGAGACATTTGTGTTTAAAGTATGGTGTATGGAGAGACATTTGTGTTCAAAGTACGGTGTATGGAGAGACATTTGTGTTCAAAGTACGGTGTATGGAGAGACATTTGTGTTCAAAGTATGGTGTATGGAGAGACATTTGTGTTCAAAGTACGGTGTACGGAGAGA